ACCGCGACCTGGCTGGAGTGTCGGCAGCGGAGCGGGGATGCACGCGTGCGCGCGCAGCACTTACAACATGAGTTTCCAGCCATTGCCGCTAGGAACGACACCGCATAGAGGTACTGAACTAGTTCTGCTAATCTCCGCTAGGATATTTTGCTGGCTACGCTTTTTAGTACTAGATGCGTTGTCTTTTAAGGATTTATAGTCAATTCCGGCACGTTAACCATTAGACCACCGAGGCCGGTGGCTACACACCGTATCGTTGCGGTAAAGGTGTTCCCTCAGCCAATAGAATGCTTTGCTTCCCCCACTCCGCAGTGTCAGGGGACAACATCGTGATGATTTAGCGAAGGTTTAGACTCTAGTGTTTAGTTTTGACTATGTTATGATTCAACACACTTCTTCATTCGTTTGTAAATAAAACTTATCAAAATATTCGTTCATATAGGGGTGATATTATTTCATACAGATTACACACCCTATAAAACAAATACCGTATACATAATTCATGAAAGCACTATATTATTCTACTAGCTGTAACCCGCGGGCTTTGCCCCGTTTAACTTCTTAATTTTCAAGATTATCTCGTTCGCATGGCTCAATCACGTCCTGGTTGAAGATCGTTCGCTACGCTCACTCACCTTTATCGTTCGCTGCGCTCACTTGCTTTCAGGTTCGCTCGTTCGCTACGCTAACTCGCCTCCAGGTTGAAGTTCGTTCGCTACGCTCACTCACCTTTTGGTTGCAAATTAGCTGTTGTTATAAATTTAAAAAATAATAGTGCTGCAACCTGTTGGTAATCCTTGTAACTTTAATGCTATTGAACATCATAGAATAGAACCAACTTGTTTAATTGAAACAGCTGTTAAGATTCATTAATTATTTTTAAATATGAAAAATCATAAGGTTAACATGGGAAACTCCAGAGCCACTGGGGTGGAGCCCGAGAGTCTGATCAGAATAAAAACTACTTAGTTTTCCTATTTAATGCCTAAAAAATCAGTGTACCAAATTTCAGCCTCCTAGGTAAATGGGAAGTGGGAGAATTAGTGATGAGTGAGTGAGTCAGTCAGTGAGTCAGTGAGGGCTTTGCCTTTTATATATATACTAGCTGTACCCGCGGGCTTTGCCCCGTTTAACTTCTTAATTTTCAAGATGAGCTCGTTCGCCTGGCTCAATCACGTCCTGGTTGAAGTTCGTTCGCTACGCTCACTCACTTTTAGGTTGGAGCTCGTTCGCTGCGCTCACTTGCCTTCAGGTTAGCTCGTTCGCTACGCTAACTCGCCTCCAGATTGAAGTTTGTTCGCTACGCTCACTCACCTTTTGGTTGCAAATTAGCTGTTAACATAAATTAAAAAAATAATAGTGCTGCACCCTGTTGGTAAATCCTTGTAACTTTAATGCTATTGCACATCATAGAACAGAACCAACTTGTTTAATTGAAACAGCTGTTAAGATTCATTAATTCCATGTAAATATGAGTACTCATAAGGTTAACATGGGAAACTCCAGAGCCACTGGGGCAGAGCCCGAGAGTCCGATCAGAATAAAAACAACTTAGTTTTCCTATTTAATGCCTAAAGAATCAGTGTACCAAATTTCAGCCTCCTAGGTAAATGGGAAGTAGGAGAATTAGTGATGAGTGAGTGAGTCAGTCAGTCAGTCAGTCAGTGAGGGCTTTGCCTTTTATATAATACTAGCTGTACCCGCGGGCTTTGCCCCGTTTAACTTCTTAATTTTCAAGATGGGCTCGTTCGCATGGCTCAATCTTGTCCTGGTTGAAGTGCGTTCGCTACGCTCACTCACCTTTAGGTTGGAGCTCGTTCGCTACGCTAACTCGCCTCCAGGTTGAAGTTCGTTCGCTACGCTCACTCACCTTTTGGTTGCAAATTAGCTGTTGTCATAAATTAAAAAAATAATAATAGTGCTGCACCCTGTTGGCAATCCTTGTAACTTTAAAGCTATTGAACATCATAGAACAGAACCAACTTGTTTAATTGAAACAGCTGATAAGATTCATTAATTCCTTTTAAATATGAAAAATCATAAGGTTAACATGGGAAACTCCAGAGCCACTGGGGCGGAGCCCGAGAGTCCGATCAGAATAAAAACAACTTAGTTTTCCTATTTAATGCCTAAAGAATCGGTGTACCAAATTTCAGCCTCCTAGGTAAATGGGAAGTGGGAGAATTAGTGATGAGTGAGTGAGTGAGTGTGTCAGTGAGGGCTTTGCCTTTTATATATTTAGATATAGATAAGATGTGTCCGTTAGCGCGATAACTCGAGCAAAAATGATCCGATTTTGATGAAATTTGGTACAAACATGTAAACCTACATTTATTCGAACGAGTTCGCGATCCAGCATAATCGGACCATGGGAACAGGGGTTTATGGGGGTTTTATGGGGTAAAAATGGGGTTTTCCCATTTTTGACCCTAAAAACATAAAATTTTAGAATTTCTTTCCCAACCATTTTGTAGAGCTTAAAAAAATAAATAATTTAGTATATTGAAGCATTGTTGTATGCCAAACGGTCACGGAGAAAATTCTAAAAAATGCAAATTTAAAATTCCCATGTTATTCTTATGGAAAAAATGAAAACTGTTGTAGTTTACTTGTTTATGGATATATGTTGATCAAATTTGGCAAACTTATTTATTTCATCCTATACTATTGTTGTTTGGTTAAAAAACACTGTTTACCTTCCCCGCAGCAGCAAACCTAAGCACTCGTTATATCTAATGTTATTTAAATTGGGAATAAATATGTCTTATTTATGGAAGTATTTTAGTAAATATGTAATCAGACAAGTTGAAATTCGCTTAGCTTGCAGGTTTGCTGCAGCGGGGGTATTTGTATCAAATTTTGTGTTTAAATCTTTAGACTGTTAGCAAAATCAACCCAGCTGTCTCTGTCGCTGCTCACCACCACCACCCAGACCAGCGACTATCTAACTACAGCTAGCTCCTCGTCTGCTTTCTGCTTATGTTTACACTCCTACACGCTTACATTAAAATAATTTTCTTACTTCTTGTTTTGTCATTTTTTACGATCCTAGACCCTACTAATGTAAGAAAATGTGTATCAAGTTAAAAAAAGGGATTAGTTGCGAAAAAAGTTTACTTGTTCTAAAAAAATCTACACAACTCCAACCTTTAAGCAGTTGCATCATCCTCCGAAATTGACAGTTTTGTTCTTTAAACATGACTCTAAATTCAATCATTTTGCTTGTGTTGCTGAAGAAACTGCATTTCACACTACTGTAGTAAAAACATCACCAGAGTTTAGAGTCCATGGATTGTACCACTAAACTTCAAACAAAATGTGTTCAAATTCAAATTCAAATTCAAATAGTTTATTGCCATTAAGTATACATGTCATACAATAATGATGATAATGTTGTTTAAAGACTCCTGGCAAAACATATTTCTAATCCAATAATTTGATATTGAGTGAGGGGAGATCCAGTAATCTAGACAAAAGTTTTTGAGTTAAAAGCCTAAAGTTGCCAAATGTTTACTATAGCTTTGTTAACATAAGCATGCCTGAATAAAAATTAAAAGCAAATATTTTAGTGATAGTAAAGAATTGGCTATCAAATCGAAAATTCTAGTTTGAAATTTCAAAAACTTACAATAAAGGCTAGGTTTTTAGGAATTGTCAGACAATATTTGAGTTTAAAAAATTCCAAAATGCTGAAAGTTTTAGTACCTATCTAAAATAGTCTAAACACTTTTTTAAAACACCTAAAACACATAAAACTAATTCCAAATTTAAAAAAAATACCCCCGCCGCAGCAAACCTGCAGACTAAGCGAATTTCCATTTCCCTGAATGGATTTACACTAAAATGTCTCCTTAAAAATATCACATTTATTCCCTATTTAAATAGAATCAGTTTAAAACATACTTAGGTTTGCTGCAACAGGGAGGGTAAAAGTGTTTTTTATGTAAAATGTTAATAGTTAGTAAGAAATAAAAACATTTTCCAAATTTGGGCAAAATATGTTTATAAACAAGCAAACTACAACAGTTTACTTATTCTCCATAAGAATAACATAGGAATTTTAAATTTACAATTTTTTGGAATTTTCTCCGTAACCATTAGGCGCATTATAACGCTTCAATATACTAAATTATTTGTTTTTTTAAGCTCTACAATATAGTTTCGAAAGAAATTGCAAAATTGTATGTTTTTAGGGTCAAAAATGGGAAAAACCCATTTTTACCCCATAAAAGCCCCCATAAACCCCCGTTCCCATGGTCCGATCATGCTGGTTCGCGAACTCGTTCGAATAAACGTAGGTTTACACGTTTGTACCAAATTTCATCAAAATCGGATCATTTTTGCTCGAGTTATCGCGCTAACGGACACATATATATATATATGAATTTGAACGGATGGTGTTTTTGACCTCTAGGGACCTCAAAACGAAAAAAAAAATCGGTCCCGGGTCCAGGTCTTACCGTGAGTACTACGGTAATAGCTTATTCCCTATATGGGAAATTCGCTAAAACTAGGTGCCCCCCCCCCCACCCCAAGGTAAGTTCTGCGAGTCATAATTGTCCTCTTTTTTGATGGAGGGTCTCTGGGAACCCTATCCTATTGTTGCCTGAAAACCAATGCCACCCTCCCTTCTCTACAACATACAACATTGCTATATAGGCCTAGTGTGCGTATAAAATTATAAATAAAGCAATTTACTGCAGTCCACTCTTTATATGTTACACAAAAATCCAACCCTTCAGATGTCCATGAGTTATGTGAAATAAACATTTATTTTTTTATATTTAAAACCATCAATTGCTGTTTTATACCAAAAACGACTAAATGTTAAAACACAATCCCTGCTTCACAGACCTATATGAAGTAATAAAAATAACTCGGTACAAACTAGGGATTTTGTAGTTGGATTAGTAATTAATGAATAGTCCAAAACACTCCATCATGGTCATGCTACCAATTAAGAATAGGCCTACTAATAAATAAACCTATTTGATACTAACCATGTCTGTTATGAATTCAATAACCAAATCTTCAAGAAGTTCGACACTCTCAGTATAGGGATTCTGATCATCTCCAAATCCATACATTAAACAACGAAGTTCCTTAGAGAAAATTCTTTTTTTACCAGACAGCACCACAGTACCATCAGGTTCATCATCTTCAAACTGAAATAAAAGAAAAGTTGTGCCATAAAGTAAGTGATTCTCATCATACACATTATAATACTAAATTTAATCAAGTAGTATAGCCTATACAATATTAGTACATATCATAATCATATATATAGAACAGTGCTTACAGCACCTCATCTAAGGCTTAATTTCAGCCGGAATACACCAGCGCACGCTCCGGTACTTGCTCCGGCTATCTCGATCGATAATATTTAATAATTTGTTTTTAACCAGATCTAAATTAGCTGTAAATAATAGGTATTTTTATTTAGGAATTTTGGACTGACAACGTGTTTGATTAGATAGGGCTTATATGGTTTTCAAGTCTTCGTCAAAATCGTTTCAAAGACTGTTTCTTTACTTCAGGGCAATATTCAAGTCTATTGTACAACGGGGAACAGTGCTATAACTTCTAAATCAGTATGCCAACTGCCACTGAATCGCTGTTTGTTCAGTCCACTGACTATTGCGTGCTGCGTGATTCAATTGGAGTGGAACAGTGAAGTGGTTGTGGCGTGAACATAACCTACAGCGCTGCGCAAGCGCTATGCCTGTGGCGAGAGCGTCAACTAACATCAGTGTTTCCATGTGCGGGAAAAGACCCAGGGTCTTAACTCTAAAACGTGCGCGCGGGGGTATGACATACCCCCACCTACGTTAATTTTGCAATAATTTTACAAGTATGGTGGCAACCCCGATGCAGGGCTAGAGATATATAAGGGCTGGCTCACTCCTTTGATGTTAGCGGTCGCCGCCTGATCCTACTTCCCCTCTCCTGTCCCTCCTCAGTGACGTAGCGCTGGTACATCGGCGCGCATATGTCACCCGGCATCTACGCATATTAATAATTGTGTTTATAAAATGTAGTTTTATAGTGTGATTTTTAAAGCGGTTTTAAACGGGTTAACTATTTCGTTAACCCTTCAACTTGCAATGCGCAAACTCTGTAGTGGCAAGTCATTTTTGGAAATTTTGCAGTCATATTAGCGAAAACTCATAGGCTTAAACCAACAGACCAAACGTATTGAACCGTACTGTATACTTAAAGTGTTCGTAATGAAATGAAGAACTTGAAAATGGCAACAAAATAAATATTTAAAATATTGTAGAAAATATTGACAGTAGGTAGAAAATAAATTTTTCATGTAAACTTCAAGATAGGTCTATACAAATTGTTTGGAATTTATTTCCCTACATGGAAATGTAAAAAAAATCCAATTACCATTTATACAAAGTTATGGTCCAAAAAGAATAAAATAACAAGTTTCACGATTTTGCACTACAAATTTCAAACAAAAGCCAAATAAATGTATTATCAAGAGATAAAGTAAAAGTTAACATTTTTAGACAATAATATTAGAGATCAAATGAAGTTAGAGTTGTATATGTAAAATGATTTCAATAAATGTTTACGACTTTTAATAAATGTTTATATTCGTCTAGAAAAACATATTGTTATTCACATGTAATTGTATGTTATTATGTATATGAACATGTATATTATTTTTCAAACACATAAACCCCACATACCAACAATATAAAATGAAAGTAAACTTATTTCCCTACATAAATATACATAGTTATAAAAAAAAATATACATCAATAAATATTTTATAACTAAATATTTTTATATTTGATATTTTCTACAATGGTTATAGTTTTTTTTTTCATTTGGCAGTCTAATTGTTTGTTCATTATGACGAAATGTTCAAAAAACGGGCTGAATGTAATGTCCCAGACCTCAAATAAAGTAGGCTAAGTATATCCACATAAGACAGTTTACAAACTAAATATGTACAAATTTACAACTAATACGATTAAAGTGATAAAGTCACACCCGCGATATTCGTTGTTGGTAAACAGTTTAAAATTCACAAAAACCGGCTAAATATAGTGTCTCAAGTTTCTAAAAGTAATGTCACATTTCAGTCGAGGCACAATAAATAATATCGAAACTAAACATTTACAACTTTACAAATTATAATCATGGTGTAAACTAATAAAGTAATACCACACCAAAACTCGACTGCTTAGTTAATTGGCTAACTAACAAAGATTGAGGTCTGTTAGTCAGACAACTTTATGTTAATGGATTGAAATATGTATGATAAAATGTAATTGATAAATTGAAATTATTTTGCTTCTTGTAATAGTTACAAAATACTAAGTATAATATATTTTTATACAACCTCAATGTTTTTTATATAACCTCAATTAATTCTAAAAAGTATGAACAAATAATAAAAAAATACAATTAAAAATCCATACATTAAGCTACATTCGAGTAATACGAACACAGATATTACACAGTAAAGTATTCATTGGATCAATAACTACAGTATTCTTAGCCATCGCTTTACAGTCCACTCCCATCCTTAAATATTTTTTTTATTTATTAAAATTTTATGTTATACGTAATCCTATTTGATAATCAATTACTTTTATCAAATATAGTAATACACAATAAAAAATGTCTAACATAAAGCTTATTCGACACTAAATGTAAGGCAATACCATCGCTCACACATGCAAAGCTATAAGTTGCCGGGAGCCCGAGGTACCGCTGTGACGTCACAGCGGCGGAGTGGAGGGGAGCCAGCTGGCATCACTTTCTGAACTCGCGTGGCCTAGCCCTTGTATATCTCTAGCCCTGACCCCAATACAGTAGCTTCCATTCGAAAGATGAGATTCTGAGGATTTATTTTCATATAGGCTATTAAACATTATCCAGCGACAATTTTTAATCTAAAAAGGTTTCTTTCAAAATACGTAATTTGACACACTATTTTCGCGGGAGACAAAATTCATGAGTTTGTAAAAACAACAGCTGATTTTGATGACCAACAGAAAATCAAATAGGGTACGAATCACAAAGAAACGGAAGTGTTGCCAAAGGAAATTTCCCGAAACTAAGTTATCTGTTGACGATTTCTCTGTAGGCCCTACTTTTTAAAATCGATCATCTGGTAAATAACTACAAGAAGTACATGTTTTTAGTGTATTTTCCTATAGGGAAGTAGCTATTACCGTAGGTGGCACGGTAAAGACCTAGGCCCGGGACCGATTTACTTTTTCATTTTGATATCCCCAGTGGCCAAAAACACTATTTGTTCAAATTTATATATACAGTAGAGTCCCGCAAACTTGGCGTAATGTGGACTGGAAGGGTGCCGAGTTTGTGAAATGCCGGGTTATCAGAAACTAGGGTTAAAAATAAGAAAAACTATTTTTAAGCTTTTTAATTGCCTTTTTTATTTCTATTTACTTTACAAGTCAGTATTAAGTCATCAGATATAGTACAACAAATCCTTGGTACGAGCTGTGAATGATTTGACTTGAGCTGGCTTGAGTCCATGTTTAGCTCGGACTGAAAAAATTACTAATTTTCTGAGCCAGGTGATGGCCGAGTTATCCAGACTGCCGGGTTATCGAGTGCCGAGTTTGCGGGACTCTACTGTACACGGTAGGGCCTATATATATAGATTTATATATATAAATACGTCCATGAACACATGATAACTCGAGTAATTTTTGTCCGATTTTGATGAAATTTGATTTAAGCGTGTGAGGTGGGATAAACTTGAATGAGTTCGCGGACCAGCATGATCGGACCATAGGAACAGGGTTTTGTGGGGTAAAAATTGGTTCAACCGATGTACCATATAGGCCTATGCATTGTTGTAATTGGAGCTATCCATTGGAAATAGCCTAAATAATTAGATTGAATATACTGATAAATAGGATTTTTTATTGGTTCAAAATTAAAGTTTTGGCCACTCAGCTATTCAAACAAGTTAGGATTATCCTACCTGGGCCTACCTAAGGATCATAGACTAAAAAAAACCAAAGAGGCTATTAAAACTGATTACTTGAAGTGAAGGGCCTAGGCCTACCAAATGCCAAATAAAATTGGAGCAAAATTTTCCTATAAATTCAAATTATAACTTATAGAGTGGATTTTTCTTGTTGAGAGCGTAAGAAAAATGTTTGCTCTAAAAACTAGAAAATGTAATCGTATGTGATCAACAACCTCAATTGAATCTATAGAAAAATAAATTAAATAGATTATTTTCTGGCCTGTTTACAGTAGGTAGTAGCCTAGTAATACAGTAGTTGTATGGGTAAATATTAACAACAACAAGAGCCCCTTACCGTCTCGAAGTTATCATCTGCCATAGTACTTAGAGGCTTTTAAAGTACCGCTCGTCAACTATAAATAAGCTACTAGGTATTTGCTTGCAAGTTCTTCGAATTGAAATAAAATATAGTTTTGTTCGTCGTTCACTTCACTCTTCAGTCAGAGATCAGATATGACAATTTATTTACTTTTTTTTCTGTTGTTAGAATTTGACTTTACATGACATGACATGACACTATGACAGAACTATATTTTTTTTTATTTTGCCAAAAATGGCCGGCTTTGCTAGGTAAAAAGGTAAAAACAATGCAGCCACGCGGTTCAATATTTTACATTTATAACTTTTTCATTTTGGTTGCTTCCTAATTAGGGTACGATGTCATAGCTTATAATGTCATAGCTTATAATTGCGAATTTGTTGCATAGCTTATAATCTTGAAAATGTGGCATAGCTTATAATGGAAAGTTTAAATTGTTCCATAGCTTATAATCGTAGAAATGAGGCATAGCTTATAACGGTTTCCTTAAAATGTGGCATAACTTATAATGGCATAGCTCAAATGTGCTGCAGCTTATAAAATCTCGTTTGTTCTATAGCTTATAATTTTAAAAACGTGGCATAGCTTATAACGCGCGGGAATTACGTCATAGCGGATGGGACAGCTGATCGATCCTGAGTAGACAAAAAAATTATCGTGCAATGGTCCTCAAATTATCGTATCGACTAGCAGCCGCTACTCGGCAATAAGAAGTCGCGTTAAGTGCAGCCAACGTAGCAAAACCAAAAGTATTTCAAGTTTTTTTTACTCCTGGACGACATATGTAATATATGTATATATTAAATGGTTTTTGTTGAATAATAGAATAATGTGTTGTATCTGCTGTTTTACTTTAATTATGTAAGCTGAAATATATTATCATAAGTTTGATATTGCTCGTGTTGCTTATTTATGCTATGCATGATAACTATTGTATAGGTAATATTTATTTTGTAATATTGTGTAATACCGGTGTAAAAATACTTTTTCATAGATAAAACCGTAGACTATGCAACATAAGTAGACTTCTCTTCCCATTGCTGATTTTGAAGCTTGTTTTTCGTGTCTATTTCATGTACGTCGACACTGATCGCTAGTGTAAACGAAATCTTGTTTCTATTATATTAGGGTAGTTTTATGATTTGTGCTTTACTGTTTGGTTATATAACTAGGAGACCAGTTATTTTTATGATTAGATAGTTTTATTTGGTTAAATTAGGTTTTAAATAACTGAAATAACAATATTAAGAAACATATTGTAAAAAAAACACAACCTCTACACAGTTGGCATAGAATAGCAATAAAATTGGCTTCAGCTTTTCAAACAAGAATGACAAATCTTCTAAGGGACTTAATGTTTGATCTATGATCAAAACATGTTTAGTAGATTTGTCATACTTATGGAGCAGCTTAAGCCCAAATTTTAGTTTTATTTCTGTACGGTGCAATGTAGATTATAGAGGTCATGTTTTGTTTACAATTTGTTTCTTATTATTTCACTGTTTACGCCTTCATTTAGCCAAATAAAACGATCTTGTCATGTAGCGGTCAGTGTCACAGGACAAGAACTACAAAACAGTGCAACCCCCATTTCTGTAAACATTATGTTTCAAAAGTTAATGCAACTTTTCTGTTAAAAAGTAACCCAAGCATGATTTTTTATTGCAAGAAAAATTAAAATATTCTTCCCAAAGATCGGAAACATACGTTAGACAATAGTTTTGTCCATTGATGTAATTTCTGTAATATCAAAAATGATATATATCCAAGTATTTATAAACAGTACTAAAATTCTAAAATCCATACTGAACTCGACTACGTCATTAGCAAAACTTGACACAAGAAGGCACTTAGTTACCAAAATAGTCATAATGTAGTAATGTAATAAGTTAATTTAAGATTTTATTTGTATTGATTAAATGATTCAGTACTAAGTAAAAGTGTAAAGAAAAAAACGGATTTCTAACAAGATATTTAATATATAAATATTCAAATATATTTTTACTCGTAAACTCTCAAATACCTCTCGACTGACTGGTTCTTTACAAATTGGTTGCCCCTGGGTTGGAAGAACTAAGTGAACAAAAATATTACAACAGAGTGTTGGCAGTGGAAGCTTTATGTTAAATAAAAATTTAGTGGGCCCTGTGGAATAAAATTACCCCCAGAAGTCCTAAGGGGGTTCTTGGTAGTGTTTAGTTCTTCCAAGGCTGAAAACAATCTTAAGACTACACTGACTCTACCTTGCACACTACCACACTAAACTAACTTAGTGGTGCACCCAAGGTGTATCTTTTGTAGTGGATTCTTATTGGTTATAATTAGGACTCTTTGAAAGAACTATATTTATGCTAGGATTGAAATACCAAAGGTTAAAGGTAATCATCAGTAAATAAATCACAATTCCATATATTTAAAAACAACTTCAGTGGAGAATATAATTATAATATAACGATGACAAAAGGTGATGTGTTACGAAATGTATGGCCTTTTACCCTAATATATTTGCCATTAATGTTATCACTACTATATGAGTGAAAATTTAAAAACGTACGTTTTCAGGAAAAGCACTTTGCAAATTTTTTCCCCCTTTTTTCAAAACTTTTATTATTATTTTTATTTCATTAACATTTTAAGTTTCATAAAATGTCCATGGTAACGCAATATCTTTGGTAGTTTTTTTTTTTAAAGAGCATCTTTAGTGGAAAAACACAAAATCCTGTCACGACCATAACAGACGTTTAAATGAATATTAAAAATAGTTAATATTATTTTTAGAACTATGTTTTGCAATAAACTAATTTAATTTTATGACCATTATACAATAAAAAGGTCACTGAGCTTTTGGTATATTTGGTCTTTCTAGAAAAAAATAAAAAACTCAAAAAATTGAAAAAAAATTAAAATCTTTTTAAGTTTGTATAACTCCGAAAAAACTTACCTGAGACCCGAAAAATCTTTATGTTTGTATAGAGGTGTGCTTCTTTTTTGTATAAAACATTAAAATATGACGATATTTTAATTTTTTAAATTAATTTATGATAGAAATCATAAACGTGATGGTCAGGGACAAGCGGTACGGTCGTGAATTTTCTGAAATAATCTAAATCTTTCTAAACAATCCTTCAATTATACTGTTAGTTATAATAAAAATATGTGTTTCAATTGAACTAAACTGTTCAATTTACAATTATATTAAAGTTATTGTCACGACCAAACACACTATAATCCATAAGGCTAGATTGGTCGTGAAAAAACCCGCGATGGTCGTGAAACTTTGGTCGTGAAATTACGTGTTATTTGGCTCTGTTCTGGCGGTTGCCCTGCACCTCATGTTCGAGGATACAAAGTGGACTTCTAGATTAATCTAGCAATTGAAATATCTTATAAACAAAAATTAACACCATGTCTACTTCATCGAATGACTATGTACGGTCATGGGTACACTAAAATTACAATACCCCAGCCGCAGCAAACCTGCAGACTAAGCGAATTTCCATTTGCCTGATTTGATTTTCAATTAAATCTATTCAAATAACATTAGGTTTAACGAGTACCTAGGTTTGCTGCCTACAGGGTAATAAAGTGTGTTTTTCAGTAAAATATTAACAGCTTAGTATAAAATAAATCGATTGGCCAAGTTTGATCCAAATATATGCATAAACAAGCAAACTACAAAAGTTTACTTATTCTCCATAAGAATAACATGAGAATTTTTAATTTATAATTTTCTCCGTAACCAATAACCATACAAAAACACTTCAATATACTGAATTATTTGTTTTTTTAAGCTCTTCAATATGGTCTAGAAGAAATTTGGGAAATTTTATGTTTTGAGGGTCAAAAATGAGAAAAACCAATTTTTACCCCATAAATCCCCCCATAAAACCCAGTTCCCATGGTCCGATCATGCTGGCTCGCGAACTCGTTCGAATAAACGTAGGTTTACAAGTTTGTACCAAATTTCATCGAAATCGGATCATTTTTGCTCGAGTTATCGTGCTGACGGACACATATATATATATATATATAAATATATATATATATATGAATTTGAACGGATGGTGTTTTTGGCTTCTAGAAACATCAAAATGAAAAAGTAAATCGGTCCCGGGACTAAGTCTTACCATGAGACCTACGGTAATAGCTTATTCCCTATAGGGAAATTCGCTAAAAAACACAATCTTTCCTTTATTAATCTTGTAATTCCTCCTTTCAACTCGAAACGACCGGCACTACAATCCTGACGTACACCCCGAACTAGTCTCTAAACCCAACTGACTCCATCGACGCCAGGCTTGCCACTGTCATGCTCCAAAGTAGAAAATTTTTCCCAAATGGTCGTGACGCCAAATCGAGGGACAGACTTATTTTGTCATGGTGGTCAGTTTGCAATGACAATAAAATTATAATGTGCTTCTTTTTTGTAAGTTGAATAACCATTGATGACATAAAAATATGGCTTGATATATTTCGGCATGAATAATTAGCCTAAAAACAGTGTGAAAGTTGGAAAATGTACCCTAGGGACACGTCATGGTCGTGAATTTCGAGACTTTAAAAATACGAAAAAATACTTAGAACCTATTTAAAACCAAATAAATGTGTGTAACATATTGCCCCCGTCCCAAAAATATTAAAACACATAATAATAAACTACAAATCCAGTATCTACGAAGTAAAAGGTCAGGGACATGAAAACGTATGTTTTTAAATTTTCACTCATATATCGAACCTCTCGGTAGAGGAATGAAGTGATTGGCGCGGTTACAATATAGCCGTGACAGTGACATTAAGGTTTGAAATTTTAATGTTTGAGACGTTCCAACACTCACAAAATCCAAAGACAAATGCTAGTTTTTTTTGTCTAGTGAAATCACATTGAAAAATTCCCTGACTTTTCCCTGGCGATTCCATGATTTTTTAAAACTTTCCCTGATCGACAAATTCAAAATTACAATTTTAATACTAACTAAATCTTCAAAAGGACTAATCTTTATCTGAAGAATATCTTATGTTTGTTGACATGAAAAAAAATACATAAAATCTATAGATACAGGCTTGTAGCTTATATTTAAACTTTGCAGCTTGCTTTAATAAAATTAAACAGAGTTTGATAAGATGATACACAGTTTAACAAAATTTAATTTGTACAAAAACACAAAATTTATTTGTACAAACATATTTTTTAGTTTTCCGTGACACGGCATACGTACTTTCACCAGATCGACCTTTACTAACAATTATTTTAAACATTTTACAATTTTCCCTGACTTATGACAAAATTCCCTGACTTTTCCAGATATTTAATATTCCCTGACATTTCCACGTCACTATAGCCACCCTGAAAGACTATAAAATTGAAGTGTAGATCTCATTGTCCAATTTGTTACAGTATAACTGTACGTAACTCAAGGCAATCGTATGAAAGATTATTTATTATTTATAGCTAAAGAGTGTTATGGCGGATACGTCTATATTGGAATACACTCCCACTAACTACAATCGCAAGCCAGAATCAAACCTGCAGCCCTTCCAAGTGTATTAAATTTTCCAATTAATTTCACCATTGGCAATTATACATTTGTAACCTTTTGTTTGGAATAATACTGTGTTATGGGAACAATGTGTGTGCAATGACGATTATAATACAAACATTTTAATCAAATTACGTTAATTTTATCACAAATAATTGAACATTTATTTATTTTTTAGAATAAAAAATAATATCACTGACTATGTATCAATACCAATTAATTAGATCAAAATGGATACAAAATGTAACTTATCAGTATCTGAATCTGAAAACATGTGCTCAAGAACAGGAGGCCAAAACATAACATAAAATGTAACGGCTTGTACGACCCACTAAGAGTAATTATAACACTAATACAATAAATAATATATAGTTACTTACAACTGGACGTCAGACACAAAACACTTAAGGAATCAGAGATAATACGGATGAGTTTTTTTCCAAAATGCGGACAAATTGAATTTTGGTTGAACTAAGACGTGAAATTTCGGGAGCGGTATGTATAAGTTGGTGAGGATGAAATGAGTTTTTCCTAACTTAATTTAATTCCAAAAAAATATATCCCTGCGGGATATAGGCTTTAGGGTTTGAAAATTAAATTTTTGCCAACTAACACTGCAAACTACGAATTGATTTGCACGACTCCACTTAACAACTCACCCCACGCATAGGAAGGTTGGAGACACACTGGTCACTGAGACAGACCCTTGGCTAGAAGCTTTCCCCACCACGTCATAGGGCCGTTGGGTAAGTCGCCTATGTCTAATCAGCTGACTGGATTTGCGTTTCTAATTTGCTGTTTATATTGCATCACATTCGGTACAAAAGAAAGAAATTTAAATTTTGCTTGTCGCTTGTTTTGGGCAACACACCAAGCATTAGTTGCAACCCAAACTTGAGCATAAAAGGGGCCTAACTTAGGCCGCATAATCAGGGATAACCCTGATATTTACCTTAGGCCGCCTAAGGTAAATATCAGGGCTATCCCTAGGGTTGGCAGCGCCTGGAGCAAAGGTGGTTGTGGCGCCCCCTCCCCACCAGTAATAATAGTCGCATTCACATATTTTAATCAATTTTATGTATAGATAATGAGAAAAAAGTTATAAATGAACATAATATTTGTATTAGCAAGCCTATTCTTTAAATATAATAATCTTAAAAATTTGGTTGTCCGGATGCAGATTAACTCCTAGGGAGGAATTTGGAAATCCATTATGTCTTACTGGGATAATTATGAAGTACTTTTATTTAAGGACTGGTCTTGGTTGTGTTACTTACTTTTTTTAAAGTAGAAAATCAATATGATTAGGCTCAATAATGGAGTGTATTTTAATGTTTCATCAAGAATAATAGGCAAACAACATTAAACATTTTGGTTTATAAAATATTTTTTAGATAAGGGTAAGGACCTTAATAAAACACAACAATGAATCATATTAGGTAGTCTATAAATTGGAGAAAGTTTTACTGTTTAAAAAATACTTCTTACAACACAATTGAAATAAATAAAGATTATAAGGCGAAGTTAATAGCTGAGCAACCCTTCTGCATTCTTCTGTCATGATATCCTGAAACAAATAAACAATAACTCAAAATTGTTATCAAAACTAAATAGAGAAAGGGGTGTCTTGTTAGCTTGGTGGTTAATTTGTCCTGGACTTTGCTGCAAGAGAAATTGAGATTGACTTAAAGGATCCTTGCACAAGGTGAGAGGATTCAACATAATTTTTCCATGGATATTGCACACACTTGCCCAGCACAGCACAAACCTGCTAACAGCATGCTACTATTAAAATTAAAGTAAAGTAAAGTACTGTAGAACCAAATCAGATTACGCTCTTGTGTCCACCATAGCACTATAGAAGACCATAGAGCACTAAACGGTTTTCATAGACTTTTATCAATTAAGTATTAAATGTATCCATTCAAATACATACAAATTATAACCCAGTGAATGATTGAAATACATGTCATGATGAAACCATACAGCGGTAGCCCAAGTACGGCTTCATAAAACCATGTGCTAGTTGGTCTGACCATACTGGGCAGGAGTAGAGTGGCCAGCTGTGCTGCGGTTAGCGTATATTCCGGCGCCGACCGCCAGGGGTAATGTGTAGTTACGGCGCACGCCGCTGCAGCATCAAGTGCTAGTGACCGTTTCCATAACAACTTGGTAGTTGGGAGTTAGTGTTGACAACTTTGGAGGAATCCCCCGGAATTGGAGTTTACTGACTTATTTAATATTAAGCAGTAAATTAATTTAAATGCCATATTTTATTGTATTTTTTTTAAACATATATTTGTTATACTTTTGTAGTTTCATTACAATGATTCAAAGTTTTTCTTTATTAATCCATAATTTTAGGAAGTGGTTTATTGGAAGGTTTTGTTTTATATTTGCAAGGTCAAAATAAAATTTAACCAGGATGTCTAGTAGTCAGGGAAAACGGGAAAGTCAGGTATTAGTATTGAATTTCAAAATGGTCTTGAAAAGTTGGGATTTAGTCTTTATTTTGATATCAAAGTCGGTAAATTTCATGATTTTACCTCAATCGCGCTAGACAACGATCAAGTTTCCGTGACGGCACAAGACGATGGATGATGTGTCTATACGACCGCGGGAGATGTTCTGAAACCGCGACTGTGCTAGACGACGTTTTCGTGACCACGGACCACGGGGAGAATGATCACGTCTTTTCTGCGATCGCGCAAGACGATTGTATATACGGCCGCGGAAGATGTTCATGATTTTGACGCGATTGCAGAAGATGACAATAGCGAATAGTAATCATTTCGTTTGCAAGAGTGGTAGTGCTGGTAACAGCTGGCAAGTAGTCGACGACGACACTGGATCGAATACTGATAACTGATATCAAACGGCAAAAACGCTCTAGCGGCAGATTGCAAAACCTTTCTTTGACTGTCTATATTTACTCTATTGTCTATGAATATAGTTTTACACATCTACCATAGCCATAGTGTTCTACCACCTCACCCAAACAAAAGAAAAAATTAATTATTAAAGATTCACAAAATATCACAAATTATTCGTGAAATTAAAAAACATAAACATAACTGTAAACAGACAGTTCTCATTGTGTATGACAGTTTTTTGTTGCTGCTTAGTTCAAATTAGCTGTTTTCATAAATGAAAAAAAAATAATAGTGCTGCATCCTGTTGGTAAATCTTATAACTTTAAATGCCTTTGCATATCATAGAACCAACCTTTTTAGTTGAAACAGCTGACTAAATTCTTTAATTCCATTTAAATATGAGTACTCATAAGGTTAACATGGGAAACTCTAGAGCCACTGGGGCGGAGCCCGAAAGGATTTTTGAGATAAAAATATGCCTCTATGTTAATTGTGAATGTGAGCTATCATCATACCAAATTTGAGCCCAATCCATCCAGTAATCAACACGTGATTGAACTTCAAACACACAAACAAACGCACAAACTTTCACATTTATAATACTAATAAGATAGTAGCCTTTCTCATTTCACATGATCTGACAAGCACGGTGTCTCATCAAACTAGTATAATTGTTTTTGTTCAAGCTCCTATGTATGAGCAATCGATGTATCTAAGGTTTAATGGGTGTTGGGGAAAAATAACTAATTTAATTCTGTGCTGGTATTAACATTTTTTTACCACAAAAAGATGTGAAACTACTTTATTGTTACCAGTTGTGTGGGGGCAATTCAAATATTTCAGTCTGACGAATCACAAAAGAGCAGTGGTGACTGTGCTGCGTTACCCCGAGAGTGGATGTAGTTCACTGAAACACCCAAAGGTAGCAGTACTGCACGGATCCGTATCCAGTGTCTTTGTAATGTGGGTTGAAGAGAAAAAATCCCCGAAACCGGGACAAAAGCATTGCCAGACAGGATTTTACGGGAAATTTTAGTACCAACCTACACCAAAGTAAAGCTCGCATTCTAAGCTGGCAGGCTGGCAACGATTATAACGTCTCCGTCTGAGGCTAAGCTCACACTGACTCAATATATCTCTGTTGGTCTGGTGCCGACTTTTGTCGGCGCGCGCCACATTGAAGTGCTAGCGACGCCGACTAGAGTCGGTGTTAGCAGTGAACGTGTTAATGTTAAACAAGGACTGAAAATGCTTTTTAATCATATTGATAACTTAGCCAAACTTACTTATCTTTATTGCTTTCGATTCTTTTCCAAGAAAATTTCTCTCCTTCTTGTTTGGCCCCAAATAAGCAGACAACTTCATCAATATTGTTTACATGTGAAGTACTCTCATACATTAACACCAAACATTTGCAATGCTCCAAGCTTTACAAGAAAATTTACCTGGAACAAAAATAGGCAGTGTACATCATTCAGGCCTACTTCTTGTTAAAAGTAAAAACAGAATATAGAACTATAGCTCAAGGTAGGGCATATTTTCTTTGTACAAATATTTGGATTGGTAGATAAAAACTTAAAAACTCGAAGGCCACTGGTTCTCTAAACTAATAACTAATAAAGTGTGTTTTTTATTAAAACATTAATAGCTTAGTATAAAATAAAGCTTTCAAGTTTGATTTATAAAAATAAATATAGCCTATATATATATATATATTTTAATATTTTTAAGCTTTTTGTTGGTCGCAAAACATAAACAAATAAAAAGTAGAAGAAGGTAGCTTCTAATGTTATTCTTATGGGACAAATTTAAAAATGTATTTTGAGGGTTTTATAATTACTACTGAACGGAATCGTCTAAATTTTATGGTGTCTTTCCATTGGTGTCATAATTAAGATTCGTGCAATTTTTTAACACTATAGGTGCAATGGTTAGCTTGAGTTTTTTATGCGAACACTTACACACACACACAGTTAAGCGGACAACTAATCCAAGACTCCACTATACACAACACGATACATAGATGACATATTATTTTTTTTAAATTTCTTTAGAAAGGTCTAGAGAATAATTGATAAATTTTGTGTTTTAAGGGTAAAAAATGAGAAAACCCCATTTTTTGGCCTCTGCCCCTTCTCTGCATAGAACTCATTAAAACCCGGTCCCATGGCCCAATCATGCTAGTTCGCGAACTTATTCAGATTTATCCTGCCTTACACCTTCAAACCGAATTTTCATTTGATTTTAGGTTATGAAAGAAACATAATACAAGGATATTTGCCTTTGCCAATTACAATCAATTGTAGGCCTAAGTATGGTGGGCTAATATGAAAAAAGTTGACCCATAGGCCTACTTGCCTAATTTGTAATTTTATTCATGTACTCAGGTATGTGTCACAATTTCATTTTCTTAGGTAGCCTACATGTTTTTTTGCCATAAGTTAACTGCATGGTTTGCTGCCTTGTTTACTGTGTGAAATTAACCTAACTTAAGTTTTGTGACGTTGCCTATTGTAAGTTATTTTATAGACTACTAAATTTCCATTCATACTTGGCTTAAAATACCTAATATGTATCGTCGCCATTTCATTGAATAGTATTAACAGTATTGATGGTAGAATAAGTTAAAGGGTACAGTTTCTTAACTGGGCTACGCTAATTTTATTGAAACTATCGATTCGATTAGTAAACCTACATGCGATTTTTTCACCATCAGCAAGTTTGGTTGGTTAAGTTAGGTTATGATAATTTAATTTTATAATAAACTTAGATAGGTATATTTAAAATATCTATTATTAATCAATATTTTTAATTCAATACTGTAGTTCAATAAAATATATTAACTTAAGTTAGCGTAGCCCAGTTAAGAAACTGTAGGCCTACCCAAGTTAAATCTCTTGGCTCAGTATTATTACGCTTACCATTTCTAAGGTTACACAAATGGGGGAGCGAGCTGGCGTAGTGGCTAGAGCGCGGGACTTCGGTCCGTGAGGTCCCGGGTTCGATCCCCGCCAAGTCACCAATGGATTTTATCTAAGTGATAATGCCGCAACCCCTAGGTCTAGCCTGAAGTAATGTGAAAAACAATCCCAGGCTCGTGCCTAGCGTCCTAGGACAAAAAAAAAAAAAAAAGGTTACACAAATGATACAAACTTGATAGCCTACTTATATCAATTATAGGCCTAGGCCTACTCGAATACTTAATACCCATTCAAATGAGTGTAGGACGTAAACTTAAGGGCTGCACTTTACTTTACGTCCTACACTCATTCGAATGAAAATATCGATCGATATATCGATTATTAGATAAGTTATATCATTTGGTTAGTTAGGTAAGGTTAACCTAACCTAACTAACCAAACGATATATCGGATGAAACAATCTAATAATCGATATTTTCATTCGAATAAGTGTAGGACGTAAAATAAAGTGCAGCCGTTGAATACATTCACTGATATTTTTATTAAGTTAATTGTTTAGGCCTGTCACAGGAAATCTGTAACTTGAGTCACAGCTACCTTAAGCTTAAGTAGGCTAGGCAACTGTACCTACTAACTTAACCTAATAACGCTCAAGCAAATAATAGCCTACTGCATTTTGTTACTTTGAATAACAAGGCCTAGGAACAGGATTGGATTAAAACACAACTTACTGGATTTCAACACCTCAATAGTTTTGGAATTTTTTGATGTTTACAATTTATTAATAATTATTGTTCCTCTTCTTGATCTTCTGTCAACACCAGCCGGCCGGACTATTGACAAGATTTAAGATTCATTAATTTTCAATGCCGTTATCCTTCACTTCATTTTCATATCTTTTAACTTCTCACTATAAATATTTCTTGCATTTTCATTGTCATATAGCATGTAATTGTTGCCATTTCTCGTATAAAAATCGTTTAAAAGATTTAAATAAATAAATGTTTAGGTTATAAATTACGATATCGCAGTTGTCAGTCAAATCAAATCAAATCAAATCCATTTATTGCCATCAACACTAAAATACATGTATAGCAACGTCATACAATTACATCACGGTATATGCATTAACCTACTTAATATGTTCTACAAATTCTTTGACCTTATACACACATAAATCACACAAAATCTTTCTAATAGTAAATTTAAATTGTCGTATTTCAAGACATTTAATGTGAGCAGGTAACATATTATACAATCTTTTGCCAAATTCACTAAAGTTATTAATTGTGGTCATAAAATTACATTGGTTTGGACGGAGAAAAGTGTTTTGTCTGGTAAAATGGTTATGAACTGAATCATTTGTAGGGAAATCTCTAATATTATTTTTAACATACAGTAAACAATCTAAAATGTACAGAGAAGTGACAGTTAAAATTCCAAGTTTCTTGAATAATGGCTTACAATGTGTTTCACTGTCAACATTGAATATTGCCCTAACAGCTTTCTTTTGCAACAGTTTCAGCTTTTTAATACTACCAGAATGGCCCCACACAACAATACTATAAGACAAATGACTTTGAATGTGAGCAAAATAAATGGATTTCAACACATCTATACTAACAAAAGGTCTAAGTTTTCTAATCATAAATGTACCCTTGGCAACTTTTTTACAAATCATATCACTCTGAGAATCCCACTTAATGTTAGGCTGTACTAATACTCCCAAAAACTTAACACTATCTGAACAGGTACTTGATAAACTAAATTCAATATTCTGTGTTTTGCTACTGTTTATACACAATGAATTGGCAGCAGTCCAGTCCTCGATTACAGAGTTAGTAGTATGTAGAAGATTTTTAATTAAGGAAGAACATTTACAATTTATCAGGACAGCTAAATCATCAGCATACATATACGATTTAATATTATCATTACTTAATGCAGTAGTTAAATCATTTATATAAACAATAAACATAGTAGGTCCTAGAATTGATCCTTGAGGTATGCCTGAATGAACAGAGAGATATGAAGAGAAGCATCCATTATAATACACAGATTGATATCGGTCCATTAAATATGATTGCAAAAAATCCAAAGATGTCTGATCAAAACCATAATATTTCAACTTTTTTAACAATATATCATGTGAGATGGTATCAAAAGCTTTGGACATATCAAACCAGCTACCTAATACTTTGTTTTTAGCATCTAAGCCGTTGACACAGTGTTTCATAAAACTAACAATAGCATTACTGGTGCCCCTGTTAGGCCTAAAACCAAACTGATCATCTGAGAACAATGAATTTGTTTCAAAATACTTAATTATTTTACTATTTAACAAAACTTCAAATATTTTAGAAAAAACAGGAATTATTGACACTGGGCGATAATTACAATAATTATCGTATCCTACCATAAAATATCGTATATATGGTAGACCTGACTGAAGCGAGCAGCTGATGCCATTCCCACAATGCAACATTCTCTTCAATTATAAGCTATGCCCCAAAATCAGGATTATAAGGTATGACTCAAAATCAGGATTATAAGCTATAGAACAGAATCGGAATTATAAGCTGCGCCACTATTTGACCATTATAAGATGTGAAACTGAAAATGTGTCATACCTTATAACGTTTTAGAGAAATTGTGGCATAGCTTATAATTTTTCGTGAAAGTGTGGCATAGCTTATAACTGATTATAAGCTATGCCACATTTTCAACATTATAAGCTATGGAACAAATTCACGATTATAAGCTATGACATTATAAGCTATGACACCCCACGCTAATTAGTATTGTAGTATTGGGTATTGTCATCTGAAAGGAACTATTTGTTAGTGACATGGTTTCAAAATTGTAAATTTTTGTTTACATGTTTCGGTAAATATGCATTTTAGGGTTTGCACGCGATTTTTGAATTTTTTTTCATTCTACTCGAAATTTAACGCTGATTCCGAAAATGACGTTCTTTTTCCGCGGAAAACGACCATAACGCGGAAAAACGACCAAAAGGACAAAAAACTCCTTTTTCACCAAAACACGTCATGTGGGTACTCAAATTAACCGTAATATTAAGCAGATCACGACTATGTAAGAATCTTTTGGATCCGAGGTCAAATAAGCGAGATTTTCACGTAAATATGCGATAATATTTTGGATTTTTGCTCCAACTTTTGTCTGTGTTAAAATACCAGCTGATCAGGATCAGCTGGTCATTATTTTATTGTAATTGTTTATATTTTATTTTAACAGGTAAAAGGGATGATAGGCTACTAAGCATAACCTAACCTAACCTAACCTACAACAGTTATTCTAAAATCATCTATTCGACGAGTCAATGCAGGAGTTCCAAAACATTCAATATTGGAACCTGATTTGTTCAATCTGTACATGGCAGACATCCCTCTTCCAGAAGACGCCTCATTAGCTCTGTACGCCGACGACACTGCTATCTTGTGCCAACATTCCGATATCCACGAGGCCACATATTCTCTGCAATACTCTGTGGACGTTCTCGTTGATAAGTTCTACAAGTGGAAATTTCAACTAAATTCAACTAAATGTGAGACCAAAATATTTTCCTTGAAAAAAAAAACATACATTGCCACATTAAATTCAAAGACATGGTAACTTTCTACCGTGGAACCCTGATGATGACCAGGCCATAAAATATCTTGGAGTATAACTGGACAAAAAGCTCAATTGGAACTACCACGTTAATAAAAAACTATCTCAAGGTTATGCACGCCTTGCAAAGCTTTTTCCTTTGATCAATAAAAATTTACTCTAAAACCAGCTTGTGCAATTTTAATATATAAATCAATAATTCGGCCGTGAATAACATATTCATCACCTAGCTGGGGATTACCTAATAAAAAAAATAAACTATAAATAACTGTTGATTTTTTTGCCAGTAGTTTTGTGCATGGTTTATTTGCTTTGTTTATGTGCATAATATGGTTTGCTTTTTGATTTCTGAAAACCTGTATATATTACGGTATTTACAGGGCCGGACTTACGACCGGGCAAATTTTCCAATGGGGCCCTAGGATTTCAGTTTGGGGGGGGGGGTCCTCCAGTGGGATTAGGGGGTCCTCCCCCGGGAAAATTTTCTAAATTTAGGCTTCAAATAGAGCAATTTAAGGCCAAATAAGCAATAAGTTCTATATAAAAAATTTTCTTAAAATATAACTATTTTAACATATTTTTATATACAGCATATTTTAATTTTATACACAAAAATAAAAATGTATTGCTTTATAGTACCAGTGACGGCATATTTGGTATGGTATCATGATAGGCTGCCATAATATATTTGGATAAGAAGTATTGATATATTTTTGTTTATTACGTATTTAAATTATCGATTATTGCCGTCGATTCGTATGGTTTTTCAATATTACTACAATATAGGTGTGATTATTTTATTTTCATAATGGTTTTGGTACCTATGGCATTCTCGTTTTTATAATATGTTAAAGTCCTAGCATGAAAAGTACCATTGGGGACTTTCAAGTTTTGAGGAGCAAAATCTTGCAATGTCTAATAAACACTCACAAGCTAAGTATTTATATGAGTAACTGAAAGATGTTTAAATGGATCCAATATCGATTAATACAACACAAACATAGCATTGAATACAACATTACTCACTTCAGCTTTGTTTTTGTACTGTTAGTTTGCAGAATTACAATAAAATAACACAAAAGTAAGACAATTTCAACCAACTTGACGTGACCACTAGTCTAAAAGGACAAACTATGGGAGTAAAGTGATTTAAATTGTTTTGGATAGGCGATAAGGCATTTTATGTGTGTGTATGCGCGTGCGTGAGAGACAGGACTAGACAGGATCCCTTATCAGCTCATTATCATTTATTGTTGCAGCTGCTTCTGCTTATTCGCTTATTTACGATTTCATACGACAACGCTCGCCCAATCCCAATAAATGTAATTTTTTGTTAACATCAGACGACTCTAGTTGTTTTAAAGTGTCTATATAGATTTTAAAAATCTTACTGGTGCTACAGTATATGATTTTGACTCCAAAGACTAAATTGGAGATCAAAATTTGGACGCATAACTTAATTAATTACTATTTAACAAAACCTTTCAATTGAACCGATAATATACTTCTACCCCTTAAAATCCTGATTGGTATATACTTAGAGGTAAAAGAAAAGAATAACATTTAATAAAACATAAACGGAGCAATGTTTTTATTTTTAAAAGTATTTGAACTCCAGTGAATCTCCATTTAACACAATTCAATTTTACAAGTTACGTTCTACGTTGGGACAAGAGTTTTCATATTTATTGTATTTTTGCCCCAAGCGCGGGACCCCCTTCAACTCATTCGCCGCGGCCGTACGTTCAGGCGAGCGGCTTCATTGAAACTGAAACTTGTCCGTCACAGCCACATAAAACATACTATAACCCAGAATGCCAACCGCGTGGTAAAAAGCATTAAGTGTTTTTGAGAGAGCTTTGCCTGTCAATCGTAGGCAGCGCCACCAGCGTTGCCATTCACTCAGCATAGCAACGCTGGTGGCGCTGCCTACGATTGACAGGCAAAGCTCTCTCAAAACACTTAATGCTTTTTACCATGCGGTTGGCATTCTGGGTTATAGAAGTATGTTTTCTGTGGTCACAGCCTAGCACATATGCTCAGCTCATGTAAACCAGGCCTAAGCGTAGGGCCCAGTGCAACTCTGAGAAAAAGTCCCTTAGGGTCAAGAATCTCATTCCTAGTAATGCCTAAAAATGCACCTAACAATAACTTTAAACATAGGATAGCGAAAATAAAAATAAAGCTGTTACAAAAGAAGGCCATTTGTTAAGTGTCTGATCAATTTTCGAAGTTAATGATAAAAACTAATGTACAAAGGGGGCCCCTGTCGGGGCCCCCCTTGGCCCGGGGGCCCCGGGCGTTCGCCCCCTTCGCCCATAGGTAAGTCCGGCCCTGGGTATTTATTTATAGTGTATTGGCGATGCCTATTGCCATGGCCGCCTTTAACTCCCTATTGCGTGTACATGCTTAATGGAAAATAAAGATTTTAATTTTCACTAACCTATTTTTTGGATTCCTCAAGAAAGAGTGATTGTCAATAAAGGCCTGGGTTAGGTTGAGTTGTGTGTGAATTTGTTAGATTACAGTTTTGGTAGGTCTAGGCATAGATAAAACATACTCCCTTAGTAGATTTCTCATCCTTATGGAACAGCTGAAGACAATTTTATTGTTAGTTCATGTACGGTTTATGTAGAGGTCGTGTTTTGTTTACAATTTGTTTCCCGTTATTACAGCCATTTAAAACCTCGTTTAACCAAATAATACGATCTAAACATAAACAATAACTTGTCCCCTAGTTTATAACCAAACAGTAAAGCACAAATCAAGAAATTAACCCTAAAATAATAGAAACAAAGTTTCGTCGACACTAGCGCCTTTGTGTCACGTACATGAACTAGACACGAAAAACATGCTTCAAAATTTACAATGGGATGAGAAGTCTACTTGTGTTGGTTAGTCTATGGTCTAGGTTTGTAGGCTCAACCTTGTGTTGGTTGGGCCTTTCCCTTTCAGTCGAGTTGAAGTCTAAGCCTTTGAAATAAGTTAAACAACTTATCAAAAACAGTGTAAATTAAAATTGTCTTGTTATTATTATGGAGAAAAAAAAACATACTGTTGTAGCTTGCTTGTCTACATATTTTAATGGAGTTTGGCAATTTTTGTTCATACTAAGCTATCAATAAATACATTATTATTTTAAAAAACTAGCATAACTATAATAGGCACTTTTCATTATGGAAAGATAAATAATAAGTTAATTTTATTTTTTTTTAATAAGATTGTAAAGAATGACATTAAATTAATAATTTAATCACATTGATTAATGAGAGTAATCAATTAATTATTAAAAAGAAAATAAACAATTTGGTGTAAAAATAATCTCTAACATAAAACATCTTACATATTCAGAAATCTACAGGGTGTCCACAAAGTCTTGGTCTGATTAAAAACCGCATATTATGAAAACGAGTGATAGTAGGATAAAGATTTATTTACAGATATAACAGGCAACTTCTTAAGATTTTATAACTATGTACAAACGTAACACAACTCTACGTGTGCGCCTACAGTGGCCTTGAGATATTCTATCCGTCTTTTCAGACTGTCCCAGGTTTTAGTCAGCATATCCTGGGTTACAGACGCCACAGAATTCCTGAATCTCTCCCGCAAGTGTGTGTAAATTATGAACCGGGGAAGAATAGACAGTGTCCTTGACAAATACCCACAAAAAGAAACCCATGGGGGTTACATCGGGGGAACAAGGTGGCCATTCGGTCAGGCCATCACGCCAGATCCAGTGACCGGGGAAGTGAAGATTTAAAAAAAACCTCACACATTTAGCCCAATTAGGCGGAGCGCCGCTGCCTTGCTGAAAAATTATCATAAGTTGCAGTCTCTTATAATTGAGGGACATACAACTCCAACATAACCAAGTAAACAAACCAATTTACATTTTCTTCCGCAAAGAAAAATAAACGGTATCAGCATTCTGACACATACTTTCTCCCATAAGTTTGTCAACAACCTTTATCATGTGTAAGCGGTGAGAGTAAATATACGGAAATGGGATTTGTACAATTTTCTTCAGAATTTAAAGGACTATAACATACTAAATTGTTATCAAAATCGTTCGGGCCAATTTTGGGGAAATCTGATTTTCCGTTATTTTATGGGGTTTTTATGGGAAAATAACATAATTTACAATAACTTTTGAATCGTAATTTTTACAGAAATGGGATTTGTACCATTTTGTTCAGAATATAAAGGACTATAACATACTAAATTTTTATCAAAATCGTTCGGGCTATTTTTGGGAAAATCCTATTTTTCCGTTATTTTATGGGGTTTTATGGGAAAATCCCCATTAAAAATAAAAATTTCTAAAAAGTGAAAAAAACTATCAAAATTGTAAGGACCATAACATACTATGTTAAATCAAAACCGGATCTTTGTCTAAAACCCTATTTTTCGTTATTTTATGGGTTTTTATGGGAAAATAACATAATTTACCATAACTTTTGAACCGTAATTTTTACAGAAATGGGATTTGTTTCATTTTGTTCAGAATTTAAAGGGCTACAAAATACTAAATTTTTATCAAAATCGTTCGGGCCATTTTTGAGAAAATCCGATTTTTCCTGTTTTTTATGGGTTTTTATGGGAAAATCCCCATTAAAAATCAAAATTTCAAAAAAATGAAAAAAACGCCTGGAGATACCATGGATTAGAACCTACATACCAAATTTCATCGAAATCGGACCACAGGTGTAGTCTCTAGCTCTGTACACATCCAGACACACAGACACACACACACACACACACACACACACACACACAGACATCACTTCGAAAACCACTTTTTTGGGTCCAGGGGGACCCAAAACGAATATATCCACTCAAAACTCAAACTCGAAAATTTTGACGAAAACAATACTTTCTCCATATACTATGGTATAGGGGGAGAAAGTAATTATCCAATGATTCCATCATGCATTACACCGTACGAAAGATTTAGTTTTGGACATGGCCCTTTCATTTTTAATCACGGTCCTGAGATTTTAACTCACTCAAATTCTACAATTATTGTGTCTGTTAACCTTCCCACTTAAATGGATAGTCGTTGCTACTATAGGGGATTGGGTTTCGTGAAACAACAACACAAACTGTTATTTTTCTTGTAAACTCACCATTTCTGATTTGTAATTATATTGAATCATAACTTGTATTGTTGTAAATCAGCTTTGTTAAGGTGTTACTAATTTCATTAAATAAAACTTGAATAAATTCCCTTCAAAACAAGGCTTACAAGTTAAGTGTGGCTCTCTGTTTACTTTGGAAAATGCTCCAAGAGCTTTCTGCGTATGCGCAAACTGAGATTCACGTGGGTACAGAACGTCGTGAGTGCTATCACGGCCACCTTTGGTTTAGGGGGAGAAAGTAAAAACGATCTGGAACCATAGACTAACTAGAACTAACGATAACGTTGATAACATTACATTGCATAGATAAAACATAGTTTACTCCACATGTTTGATCTATAACATTGGCTTCAACTGTTCCATAAGGATGAGAAATAATAATAACCCTGTTGGATAGGGATGATACATCTACTAAGGGAGTATGTTTTATCTATGGTTTTATCATAGATTCTCTTGGGTTGGTTAGTCTATGGTTTTATCTTTGATCTATGTCAATACTAATACCCTAATCCTAATACTAACCTGAAGGAAGCAACAAAAAACCACGCAGCTGCACTGTTTACGCTTAGTAAGCCGGCCAATTTAGGAAAAATAGGAAAAAAAAGTTCTAAGTTAGCAGCAGCACGGTGGGGCCACTGAGCTATAATTCTAACTGGAGGTAGCACTGAATGTCAAAGATGCGTGTCGCCAGCCGCCATGTTTGCGTGAGTCTGGTGTCATAAGAAGCCATATTATTGCTATAACTATTATTATACTTGGCTTAAAATACCTACTTTGTATGGTCGCCATTTCAAAGAAAATTATTAAAGTATTAAAAGTATTCAAGTATGACAAAAATACTCACTGCTATACCAACCTAGTTATAAGAAGCCATGTTATTGCTATGGTAAGAAAACTTACTGCTATACCAACCTAACAAAATCAGCGACTCGCTTTTGACAGACTTCTGCCATGGCAGTGCTACCTCCAGTTATAATTTTAGCTCAGTGGGTGGGGCACACGGGAGGGACTAAGGCTAACATATCTTGTAGTGTCCGCGTTCGCCGCTAGAACTGCTAAGTAGAAACAAATTTAATTATTTTTTTTTATTTTTAGTTATAAAAATAACTTTAAAATTATAAAATAAATTTTTAATTTTTAAAATTAAACTATCATAACCTAACCTAACCAACCAAACTTGCTGATATGAAAAATTTGTTGGCAAAAAGTTAATGCTGTCAACGGGATTCGAAACCCGGGACATCCTGAACACTAATCCGAAACGCTACCAACTATGCCACGAACGCCGCTGAACTCACATCTTTACAGTAATCGTGCTGCCTTAAGAGAAGACATTAGCCACTAGAGATATGACGTCACTACACCTTTAGCCTTAGTCCCTCCCGTGTGCCCATTCCGCAGCCGCCCGCAGCTTAGTTAGGTTGTTTTTGTTTGTTATGTTATGTTATGGTTAATAGGTTAGTATCACTGATCACCGGTCATACACAAACTCATTATTATTATATTATATAACTAATCATAAATAAGAGGTAGGCCCTAATTTAAGGATTCAGTTACCATATTAGTGAAGAAATGTATAATTTTACTGTTATAAGGTAGAAATAATTATTTATTTCGGAAGTTTTAAGCAACTTGAATAGTGGTGATGTTTGTCAACATTACTCTAGGCCTAGCTAATATTAGAAGGAATGGAAGTAATCATTACCATTACCATTACCAACTCCTATGTCGTTGCCCAACGCTTGTTGGATAGAAAAATTTCAAATAAAATTTTAAAGTAATAAAACTAATAAAAAAATAACATTCTTGTATAACTAATATTTACAAATATAAAAACTAGTGATGGTGGCACATAGCCTATTATATGTTCGAGAAGTACTCTTCAGACACTTCCTCAAAAGAGTACAGTGGCTCATTTGTGAGCTTGTTAAAAAGCTGCATGGAGAAAGTTTTAATGTCTTCAGTGTGGGCCCGAGGCGGTAACATGTTGTAGTTGTAGAAAGCATGGCTGGAACGGGATGGGCTGCCAAGGATCTTGATAACCTGCCTCGAGGAATGTCAAGTTTCTGTGCATGCCTGGAGTCATGATTATGGAGATCACCCCTCTGTTGATATTCTCCAATGTGATTCTTGAGATTAATCAAGCCGTAGTAGACATATTGGCTGAAGATGGTCATAACCTTAAGGTTGGCAAATAGGGGATTACAGTGGTCTCTATAACCAGCGGCTGACAACACTCTGACTGCATTCTTCTGCAGATGTAGCACTTTTATACAGCCAGGAGCATGTCCCCAGAGCAGGATTCCATGTCTGATATGACTTTGAAATAGGGTGTTATATACATTTACTAAATATTTATCGGTGATGACCCCCCTACGTTCCCATAGAAGAAAAACCACACGTTAGAGTTTACATGACTAAATATGTTGTGCCCAGTTAAACTTAGGGTCTAGGCTGAAGCCCAGCAATTTCACGCTGCTTTGGTGATCAAAATTCCTTGTTTTGCTTAAAGTGCAGATCATCCTCTGGGTCTTGTCTCCATTAAACTGCAGCCGATTTCTGGCGAACCGGATTTTAGCAGCATCCAGTGCAGATTCTGTCTCTATCAGAACTTGGTCTATAACTTTCCCTCTAGTTATTATTGAGGTGTCATCAGCATACAGGAGTGCTCTGCCCTGGAGATGGAGGTCATTTACAACAATCAGAAACAAAAGAGGGCCCAGGACCGAGCCCTGGGGGACTCCATGGCAAACCTGGCGTGGACCAGACGTGGTACCACCAACTGAGACAACCTGGTATCTGTTATCAAGATATGATTTAAGATGGTGCATAGCGACTCAGTTTTTCCAGCAATAAGCTGTGCGACACACGGTCCGAGGTTGACCATGACACTATATTAGAATTTTGTATTTTTACAAATGACAATGCCAAAATTATTTTGAACTTAAGCATTGGAGTCGTGCAAGCTCACACACTGCATCTTTCACATTTCGCATAGGCCTACCTCATCATAGGCCTAGGAGTATTACCACGGCAACTTTTACTCCAGGCCGTGTTGTGGTAGAATTGGTAACACCACAAGTCGTGCTGCTCAACGCCAGACATCCCATAAGCTAGCAAAGCAAATGAGTGACGCCCACTAAAGTTAATCCATTAAGTTAATCGCATATTTTGTGGGGTTCATCCTTGAAGAATTTAGACAGATCTTTCGTCTGGCAAAAAAGGCAACAAGAACCATCCTGGGTAGGCCTATGCCACCGCATGCCAGCTGCACTCTGCAGAGATTTATTCATCCACATTGGCCTCTTGACTGTCTCATTCATTTTTGTTTATGAATCAGTAGGTCTAGTTTAAGTTCCACATAAAATCGCAAAACATTCACCTTAGGATGTAACTTAGTTTATTCTTTATTATTGTTCCTATTGACCAGTCCAATTCATGCCTCTGGACCACGGACGGAAATTTCAAATAAGCCAGTACCGTAACTTAAGTATTTACTTTAGCAGGGCGAAATACTTTGGATCAATGTCCCTCTCCATAAAAATGCTTAATGGTCCTCCTAGTTTGTGGCGACAATCAACAATTTGTACTTAAAAGCGCCTCTGCCTATACCATTGCGCTTGCCTCTGCTAGGCCTAGTGTACATCCAGTGGCGGTTCTAGGACCTTGTTAAGGGGGGGGGTTTGGGGGGTGTGGAGCACCCACCAATTAGGCAGGGGGGTCCGGGAATTTGGAATTTTCAAAGCCGTTTGGTGACTTTCTAAAGCCTTTTTTAACACTTTAAACCGTGCCCAACTGTCCAAAAACTCCCATTTCACCTGTTGTTTCTCATGAACAAATAGACATTAAAAAAATTAAACTATGACGATTGCATTCATGAACTTCAAAACGCACTGTAGACTATGGCCATATACTCCTAAAAGCCGTTGGGTGACTTTCTACAGCCAGTTTTAACGTCTAGAACTGTGTGCAAAACCTCCCACTTCCCCATTTATTTGTCATGAATATGTAGACATTTTTAAAACTAACTGACGATTGCATTCATATATCTCAAAACATATTGTGGGCTACGGCCATATCCTCCTAAAAGCTGTTTACTGATTTTCCAAAGGCATTATTTATGTCTATAATATCTGTGTCCAACTGTCCATAAATCTCCCATTTCACCTGTCATTTGTCTTTGTCATAAGTAAGTGTAGACATTTTAAAAATCTAACTAGGCCTATGACGAACTTGCATTCATGAATTTCAAAACATAGGCCTGCTGTAGACAACGAAGCCAAATCTCCTAAAACAGTTTGGTGACTTTATTAAGCCATTTCTAATGGCTAAAACTGTACCCAATTGTCCTAAAACCTTCCATTTCACCTGTTATATGTCATGCAAGCAACTTAAGTTTTTCTCCATTTCATAGATCTGTCACAATATTATCGAATTCAGTAATAGTATTGACTATTTCAACTTTAACACTAGTGTTTACATATAGTCAATGGTAATTAATAGGCTACTGGTGCTACAGCCGATTGCTGATTGATGCCTGTGTAAAGTTAGTGGCTAGCAGACAATTTGACAACTGCTATGATGAAACATCAGGAAATCAGCCCTGTCCTCGCTTGCGCGCTCGGCGCTCGCTAGCCATTGCCCTAGCATGTCAACAGCTGACTGCTGTAACAATTGGATGATGCGTACAACTTTCCATAACTAGCGTTTATTCGATCGAGGTGCTATTGTCCACAAAGTTTATCTATGTGGAACCATAGACTAACCAACGTATGTTTTATCTATGGTGGAACTTAATACTACTCCTGCCATCGCTTATTAAGTTTAATAAAATTTACATTGATGTCTGTTTTATGACATTGCGTGTTTTAAGGACGAAATGTACGTTTAAATTTATTTTTCCAGGGTCCAAGGGGGGGGGGGGCTTTAGCCCCTATAGCCCCCCCCTTGGAACCGCCACTGTGTACATCCTACGGTTGTTTTCGGACTCACCTATTTTATGCTGACGGTGTGTAATTAATTATGCAAGTTTTTTTATTGAGAAACTGTTTTTGTAATGTATTTAAATGCAGGTGTAAAGGATTTTGACTAACAATAAAAAGTGTCAACTAATTAATATTTACTAACAGCTGACTATTTAAAATAGAGTAATATAACAAGATTATGATACTCTCCCTCACTTATTGAGAAGATCAACTATTTTTGAACGATAAAGTCTCGTAACCAAGGTGGCTGTCGTGGTTGTCTTATTGGTTGTGGAGAGCTTTTGGTTGTGGAACTTGAACTTTTGTATGCTGGTCTGGTTCAATATGGTTGGGTCTTTGATCAGGATAAGATTGAGTTTGGTTTGGAAGTCTTGGTACATCAAATGATTGTTTAGGTCCAAATGTTACAATCTTTTCTTTACTAGAGTTTGTCTAAGCTAGGTGGTTAATGTGTCCCTTGATATTTCTTCCACTATCGAGTGTTATTATGTAATGTCTTTTTACTAGCTTCTTCTTAATTACTCCAAACTGCCAAACTTGTCTGTCGTTAGAGAATATTTGAACTTGCACTCTCCTCCCCCTCTTGAATCGATCTAACGGGTTTTAAAATAGGGTTTAATTAAGGGTGTTTTTCTGAGTCTGTAGAGAAGTTTTTCAGGGTTTGAAATATTCCATTCATTTAATGGTCTTTTTCGGTCTCTTCTTTGATTGTCATTGAAGATGTTTCATTGTTAGATACTCAAAAAAGTGATTAAGAATAGAGCTGGATAACTTCAGCTCCAATTAGTTTATCTGTTGAACTTGTATATGTTTTGAGTTTGGTTGATAAAGCGTTTATCAAGTTTACGCTGTCAATCGAAACATGGTTTGAAGGTTTCTGAAACATTTCCTTATACACCTTTGCTCATACAATCATGCAGCTTCTCTTATTATTTAAAATGCAATTTTTATCTTTCCATTCTACTCATGTGCTTAAATATATATTATTTTGTAAATGGTGTATCCGTTGGAATAAATAAATAAATAAATAAATAAATAAATAAATAAATAAATACACTAGATCTACTGTCTCAGATTTTATAAATCAGGCTTCTGATGGCTTAGATGGGTCTCAGAGCACAGCTGCGGTGTTCTGTGATCTATCCAAGGCATTTGATTGTGTAAATTACGATATATTAATGAGTAAACTTAAATATTATGAATTTTCTGATATGGCTCTATCTTGGATGCATTCATATTTGACTAACAGATATCAAAGAATAATAATCGTAAAAAATGGTAAAAAATGTATCACAGTGGCTTAACACTAAATGTGGGGTTCCGCAGGGGTCAATACTAGGCCCCTTGCTATTTTTAATATTTATTAATGACTTACCTCGAAATGTATCGTCTAACCTTATCTTATATGCTGATGACACTACAGCAATAGTTAAATCAAATAATTTGCAAAATCTTAAACAAGAAATCAGTCTTTCTATTCTTAATTTATGTAATTGGTTTACAGCCAACGGGCTAAAACTTAATAATTCTAAAACACAGCTGAT